ATTTCTTTTATCTTTGAAGTTACTCAGAGGCGTCTACACCAAGTTTCATTTTTAACAACCTCCCACCTGCCTTCAATTTAATTTCCTTTAGAAAATGCTGGCCATGAAATCTGCACTTCTACGGTCTAGGACAGTTTTTATGTCCCTTTTCTATTTTGTGAGTTCCTCCATGAAAACGGTTTCCATGGTCAAAGGCATTTGGGAAATAAATGCTGTGTGCAATATTACTTTCTTGGAGATTCATGATGTAGTATATTAAAGAATTTCTTCAACGAATAAATGCATTTCACTTCATGTAAGCAGGGTGCCCAGATCCTTGTTTTTCTGTGACATGTAATATCTCCAATCCTGACATTCCAGAGGGTCCATGTGTGATGGATTTTCTTTTCTTTTCTTTTCTTTTCTTTTCTTTTCTTTTCTTTTCTTTTCTTTTCTTTTCTTTCCTTCTTTCCTATAAAAACGTTTATTTTTGATAGAGAAAGAGCACGAGTGGTGGATGGGCAGAGAGAGAGGGGGGACAGAGGATCCGAAGCAGGCTCTGTGCTGACAGCAGTGAGGTTGATGCGGGGCTCAAACCCATGAATCGTGAGATCATGACCTGAGCTGAAGTCAGACAGCCAACCGACTGAGCCACCTAGGTGCTCCAAGCCTGCCTGCTTTAAAGTGGCATATTCCCAGGGTGCCCTGCAGAAAAATGTTTGGCCAAGAGGGCATCCTGGTGTGGGGGGCATTATAAGCCTGGAGGAAAGGGCACTTTTGATAATTTTCATAGTCATCTCTATTCGCTAAGCATGAGCGCATAAGGCTGGGTCCTCTCTAAGAGGGTGCCTTTTTCAAATTCAGTCAGGCACCAAAGGGCCTTCCAGTCAGCCAGAATTATACCCAGAAGAATGGTTCCCTCAATGCTTCCTTAAATTTCTTTTTTAAAAAAATTTTATTATTCACTCTTGAGAGAGAAAGAGAGAGAGAAAGTGAGAGAGAGAGAGAGAGAGAGAGAGAGAGCAGGGGAGGGACAGAGAGAATCCCAGGCAGGCTCCGTGCTATCAGTGCAAAGCCTGACTCGGGGCTGCAACTCACAAACTGTGAGATCACGACCTGAACTGAAATCAGGAGGCGGACACTTAACCGACTGAGCCGTCCAGGCGCCCCTACTTCCTAAAATTTCCGAGAGATGAAGCTGTCCACGTGGCAAGGCAAGGGTGTGGCAGAGGCTCTGCTTTGAGCAGATGAGACTCCCAGATGTTGAGTTGCTTCAGGACCCACCCACGTTATAGGGTTGGCGGGACTATTTGGAAGAGGCTCTGGTTCTGGGACGGTTTGGCAGTCCCCCCATGGTCAGCATTATCACCCTTCTACTGTCTACAGTTTGCGGAAAGCTCTCATGTGCTTCCTTCAGCCATCCTGTGAAGTCCATGGGTTTATCTGTGTTATCGATCTCTATTTTACCAATGAGGAAACTGAGGCCCATTCACTCGTCTTCAGTCACATAGCTAGTAAAGAAAGGAAGAGCTGGGGATTTGGTCTCTCTAGCATCGCTTTCCTGTCCCACTACACTGCCTGTCATCAAGTTGTCTGCGGCTGCTCCCTCAATAGCCATATTTCAGTTCCTTTCTTCTCCATCCTCATTCAGATATCTCTGATAAAGACTTGGGAATTAAGAGGAGGTAGGAATGCCAAGGAAGCCAGATGGCATCTATGGGGCCACAGGGCTTGGGGGCGTCTAGCAGGCAGCCTCCCTCCTGAGGGCCATGATGGGACTAGGCCTGCCCACATTCCTTTGGAGCAAAGACCAGGCAGCAAGGTGTGGCCATGCCTCCTCAGGTGGCCCCACGGACAAGCATCCCTCACCTGCCAGAGTCCATCCCTCATCCTTCAGCAGGTGTGTACCCTCACTCCTAATTCCATGAGACTCACTCCTCACCAGCCCAGGAAACAAGTGGCTTTGAGGCAACCAGAGTCTCCAACAGGTGCTCATTGCTCAGTGACTTCTCAGCCCGAAATGAGGAAGCCTGGATGTAAGGATTCAGGCCACCGGTTCCTCATTCCCATGAGCCACATTTCAAATGCTCAGTTGTGCCTACGGCATTGGACAGTGCAGCTAGAGGGCATTTCCACCGCTGCAGAAAATTCTTTGGGACAGCACCGATCAGTCTCTCCTCTGACCGGTTTCTGCCAGCCCTTGCCCTTGCTCTAACGCCCTCCTTCTTCATGAGCCTCCTTCCCCAGCCTCGGAGGCAGTTGTTTAAGTGAGAAGTGCCGGTGGATCACTAAGAGATAGCTCAAGCTGCCAGCAGGAGTGAGGCTGTCCTCTTGTGCATTCTGTGTGCCAGGGTGGCTGTTCAATGAGAGGATAAGCCCCTGAAAGGCAGGGCATCTGGTGTCTTGTGTATCCCCGACCATGCCTTGCACGGTGTTAGGCACACAGCAGGTCCTCGATCACGTTTATGGTCCACCGGGGCTAACTGGTGGTCAAGGGGCTTGGGTCAGAGCAGCACTGGCCGGGCCGTGAATTTACTGCATGATGTCCAGTACATCCATCACTTCCTGCCAGGCCTCAGTTCTCCCTCCACCAAGGCACAAGGGGATTGGCTGGAATAGATGATCTCAGAGCTTTCCTGCTCTTTCCATCCATGGCTTTGGGAGACAGAGCACAGATTCCCTGGGGTAGGACCCCCCCTGTGATTGGAGCCCATTTTATCAGCAGCCAGCGCTCAGACCCAAGGCCAGACCCCACGGGGGGCTGTGCTGTGTGAAGATGTCTGTGACAGGTGCCTGGCATTGTGAGTGTGTGTGCATGTGTGTGTATGCCTGTGTGTATACATTTGCTTTTGCTCCCAAACCAAGGTCACAGGGCAGGAAATCCAACATTATTGTGCAAAGGCATAACTAACCTCTAGTCAGGCTGTGGGCGTGACGTCTCCAGGACTCATTTTTATTGCCCCCTTTCTCTCCTTTTCCACACGTGGCTCGATAAACAAATACGTCCTGGTGTCTGCAAGGCAGAACCTCTTCCTGGGGATCAAGACCCAGCTCCTAGGGCTCAGGGTTGTCTACAGATCCCCATGGTCACAGGACACAGGCTGGTCTCAGGGATGTTCTGGAAAGCCAGGCTCTGCCGGTCAGCTCTCAGGGATGCCAGAGCTCGGCACGAACGCAGACCTCCCTTTGTTTGCTGGAGGGCAGGGGTACTGAGTTTAGAAAATCGGATGGGTCCGAGTAAGCATCTCTTCGGCAAGCAGCAGATGACCTGGAGCCTGAGGTGAGCCACCAGAAGGCACTGCTGGGATGACGTATGTGGGGGCCATTTTGCTTCTCAGTTGCTGGTGCAGGAGGGCCAGGGCCAACCACACTGTGAGGGAAGTGGCTGTGCTCACCTCTCCCCGCAGGGCGTTTGGGCGATAGACACGGGAGGGAGAGAGTGGTGGTGGGGGCAGCTCGGAGTCTGCGGTGGGTCCTCCCCAGGGTAGGAAGCCCTGGCTGCCCTCAGAGGCCCAGAAGGCCCCAGGCACGGTGAGGGCTGGACCTCAGGATCGGGAGGCCAGGCTTTTGGAATCATGGGGTGAGGGTGGCAAGAGGTGGGGGCTGGGCTGCTTGGCCTCCACCCACCTCAGCTCCAATCTGAGGGCCCAGGGCCTCCTTCCTGCTGGAATCTTCTGTCTCCTCCTCCCTTCTATGGAGCCCTTCTCCAGGCCCATCCTTGACCCCTGCCCGCTCGTCCTTGTTATGCCCCGAACACAGCATTACTCTTATTTTGGGCCTAGTTTGCAGCCATGTCCCACTCGTGGGCACCTCTTCACTCTCTTCATCTGGGAGAGTTCTAGAAGCTGCCGGTGTCCTTAGACTTACTGGCTGCATCACACCAGTCTCTGCTTCTCTCACCTTCTTCTCTGTCTGACCTTCCTGTGCCACTCTTGTGAGGACCCACCTGTGTAATTCAGAGTAATCCCAAGACTCTGTTCAAATATATAATTTTTTTAATGTTTATTCATTTCTGAGAGGCAGAGAGACAGAGCACGAGCTGGGCAAGGAGGGGCAGAGAGAGAGGGAGATGCAAAATCTGAGGCAGGCTCCAGGCTCTGAGTCATTAGCACAGAGCCTGATGCGGGGTTCGAACTCACGAACTGCAAGATCATGACCTGAGCCAAAGTCAGACACTCAACTGACAGAGACACCCATGTGCCCCCAAGACTCTGTACAAATGCCCAGGGGAATATGATGCTTTCCCTGAACATCCTCCCCTCAGGGGTAGGATGCTGTCTATGTAGCAGGGGTACACTCGTGTCACATTGGACTGTAATTGTGTGTCTCCTCCTCAAGGTTGTGTGACCAAGGACCTGGTCTTTTTTTTACCTTAATGTCCTTCGTGCGAAGCCCGACACCGTATACATGGCTAATGAAGAGTTCGCCGAATACATAAATGAATAAACATGTACATGAAATAGCTCTGGGGCCTGTACACATGCCCCCTCCGGCCCCCCCCCCCCCCCCCCGCCCAAGGGGCTCATGCAAGCATGGTGTCAGGCCCCCTGAGTCCATGCCCTTTGGCTTTCCGACCCTACAAGCTCGTCCACCTTCCCCCAGTGGGAGGACCCTGCTCTCCTTTCTACTGGGCCTCCCGGCTGGGTTGGGATAGTCAAGATGGCTGGAAGAGGAAGATGGCTGACCCATGTGTTCATGTCTTCCTCTTCCCTGGAATCCAGCCACCTGCCTGCCCAACCATATCTTCCTCCATGCCTCCTTCCCAACACCTGCCTCAGCCTCCCTGCCTTCCTTTTCCAGTGTTGCTGTCATCTGCCCCTCCCCTACCTACTGAAATCTGAGGAAACCCAGAGCATCACGGTCCATGCAGGGACATCTTTACCCTTCGCTAGTATGTTGTCACCCCCCGCTCCCCGATAGACAGTAGTCCCTCAAGATAGCCCACCTGAAGCAAACCAGTCTTTCAGAGTCCTGCACCCCTCCGCCATCACCCACAGCCCGAGTCCCTGTGCCCAGCTCACCTGTCTCTCCCCAGATGGGCAGGTACTCATCTTGCTGAATGTCCAGCATGATCTCCAGCCCGTTGCCTGTCCCGCCCTTGACCGTGGTGAGCAGAGGTTTGCCATCCTCGCCTGAGTTAAACATGTAGCACTTCCCATATTTTGTAAACACCTGGGGGAGAGATGAAAGGGAGAGAAGCCCGTGAGTGACTTCAGACTAGAGATGGGTGAGACCCGAGAAGTGCAACATCAGGCCAGAGTCCCCACAGCCCGTCATGGTCAAGCCCTCTTGGGGACCGATGATTCCTCACTGTGGCTAATGGTCTGACTTTTGCCAAGTGGGATTCTGGCACCCGAGAACAAACTCAAGAACAAATCTGGATACCCTTTGATGTTTGTTGCCATGGGATCTTGTCTCTTCTCCCTCTGGGCACTACTCCCCCCGGGACACCGGATGGTCCTGCCCACTTCCAAATGTTGACTATCTTTAAGCCAATCTGCATCTCCAGCCCCAAGCTCTCTCCTGGGCTCCACACACACTGGCCCCACTGCCCGAGGAGCATGACTTCCGGGGGACCCATGGCCCTCTGACACTCAGAGAGTCCCAGGGGAGCAAACTTCCTCAGGTCCTCTGCCCCACCAGATGGGTCCCCTGCCCTCATGTGCCAGGGAATAGCATCGCCATGTGCCGAGAGGCTCAAGCCAGACCCTCAGGGTGGCTGTCCACTCTTCCTCCTCTTCACCCCCTTGTCCAGTTAGCCAGCAGGGCCTGGGCAAGGCTGTCTCTACGTCCAGCTTGCACTTTGCCTTTTCCCTACTGCATTGCCATAACTTAGGACCCAGCCATTGTTTGCTTGGGCTGCTGTCATTTCTTAGTTGGGCCCCTGGATTCCAGACCACCTTCTCCAGTCCATTCTCCAAGTTCACTGTGACTCATTCTTTCTGAAATGCAAGCCTCATCTTGTTAATCCTAGGCTTACAATCCATCGCGGCTCCCCAGCTCCCATAGGCTGAAAGCCAGGCCCTCCATACCTAGCCTTCTGTGATGCCCTCTGCCTACCCCATCCTACAGCTTCCCATCTGTGTCCATGGAAATCCATGAGCAGGGAAGCTCCGTGCATTTGGGGACTACACCTGCTTGTTAGCTGAGGTGTCTATCTGCAGTGCTTAGTACAGCACCTCACATGGGGGGTGTTCCAGATATATATGAATGAATGAATGAATGAATGAATGAGTGGGTGGGTGGATGCCAGATCAGATGACTTACAGCACCACTGGATGTGCCCTGCTGGTTCCTACACTGGTGGCTTTCTATTTGCTGCTTCTGCTGCCTGTAACTCCTCTCACCCCTCTTCCTGCCTGGATAGCCTCTCACAGTTGTCCAAGACTGGATTGATGTGTCTCCTCCTCCAGAAGCCTTTCTGAGCCCCTGGACCAAGTTGGGCTACTCCCCTTTTCACTGCTCCCCTCGCTCCTTCACCACGGCAGCTTATCACATGCCCCAAATAGTTGGTCTTATATCTCTTCTGAACTTCTGAACTTGACTCTGCCATTCACTTCTGAATCCAAGGGCTTAACAAATTGTCTGGCACACAGTAGGTGTTTGTACCGCTTTGGCTTGACGGATTACATGATTACAAAGACGTGGTGTGATGGTGTGGGAAAGGCCCGGGGCAAGGGATGCAGAGATCTTTGTCCAAGTTTGATGTTGCCACTTATTAGTCATGTGACTATGGGTGAACCAAGTAAACCCTCCAAGCCTCAACTTCTCCATCTATAGAATGGGATTATTAGTCATGTGACTATGGGTGAACCAAGTAAGCCCTCCAGGCCTCAACTTCTCCATCTATAGAATGGGATTATTAGTCATGTGACTATGGGTGAACCAAGTAAGCCCTCCAGGCCTCAACTTCTCCATCTATAAAACGGTAGTGCTTGTCCTTTCTTTAGCTACCCCTCAAGGTTCCTGAGAGGATCAGCCGAGGTAATACATGCAAACGTGCTTTGAAAACTCTAAAAGCTTTCTACAAATGCTATGGGTTATTATGCTTACATAACTGCTTTGGAACCTCGAGCTGAAGCCAAATTATATCTGGCAAAACTGGCTGGAAGGGAGCCAGGCCAACTGCACTGGGTCTCTGCGGCCACTGAGGTTTGGGCCCAGGCCCCTCCTTGGCCATGCTCCACTGCACTGTCCCCTCCTGCAGCATGGAGGCCAAGAGGCAGCTCTTTGGTTTCCCATCCTTCCGGGGGGGGGGGGGGCCCAGGTAAATAGCAGGGGTGGGTGCTGGAAGCTGCCTTTCTCATGCAGATCTTGAAGGCCTGATGAAAGGAAGGAAGAGAGGCCTCTACAGTGTGCCGGACACACTGTTAGTCACTCATCTGTGTTATCTCATTTAACTCTTGAAGCCATGACTCTGTGGGTATTGCTGCTCCCATTGTGCAGAGGAGGATACCAAGGCCCAGGGATGTTAAGTGACTCGTCTAAGTCACACAGCAAATAAATAGCGACGCTGAGACACAAACCCATGAGTGTCTTAACACATGCTCTTTCTGGATGTGCTCTCCTGGGTCTTGGTCCCTGGGACCTTTCTGAGCCATATACTGTTTCTCTGTGCCTTGCCTTTTCCATCAGCCAGTCAATAGTCACATGCATGCGCTCCTACTATGTGCAAGAATTAGGAGGATTGCCGAGAAGTACAAGCCCGGCTTCCAGAGACCACATTTTCGTCACCATCCAAAATGTCTCTGAGTCCCTGACTAGCTGCACTATTTCAGGACAGCCAAACCCTTCTGCTTCATGGTGGGGGAGAACAGCTGGAACTGGATTTTTCAAAAAAAAAAAAAAACAAAAAACCCTGAGCTTTATCATGTAGAGCAACTGCACTTGGCTAACGAATCTGTCCCCTGGAGACATGTTTGCAGGGACCACTGCAATGAACGGATGAGAGAATTTTATAGTGGGTGCATCTTTTGCAAGGGGTTGAACACATCTGGAGTGACTTCTGGGTGCTCTAATAGAGTTTTTCTCTGTAGATCCACTAAATATGCTTGTTGCTTCCAAAATTAATTATACTATTAATTGCCTATCTATCCAAGGAGATTTGTAAGGAAAAGTACATTTCATCTTCGCACCAAATTACTGCAAATTCCAACCACCCCACCCCCCACCCCACCTCCACTTGGAACTTGGACTCCAGAATATTGGGCTGAGGTTAGAATGTGATGCCTCCTCCTAGAGTCGACGGTGATCCCAGCCCAGTGTCTGAGATCCAAGATGCGCTGGGTGGGGGCTGTTGATAAAGGGCATGGACCCTCCGTGAGCTCCCGAGGGTGATGACAAGGCACGAGAACTCCGAGGGGACTTACAGACCATCTCGCCCACCCAACTTACTTCATAGGGGAAGAGACGCAGACCTGGGAGAGAGGAAGCAATTTGCCTGAGGCTGTGCAGTGAGGCCGTGTCTGTTTGGGACCAGACTCCTGGTTCAGTCTGCACTTCCTTTACTCCAGTCTCCCTCAGCTTCTCCACTTACAACAGGAGAGGGAGGCTCTAAGGGATTGCTACCTTCAGCTGATCATTGACAAGAGTGCCTGATCTGCGGCGGGCACTGGGCTGGCACCATGGAAGCCTCATGCATTAAAGTCTTCCCATGTAGAGGAGGGAGCAGACAGATCTTTGTGATAGAGACTCACTCCCCATCCGTGGCTGTCCCCTTGCCGGGCCTGGTACTCGTCCTAGGCCCAGGTGGTGGCCTCTGCAGGGAAGTGTGGTCAGCGTGGTGGTGACCAGAGAGGCGGGACACTGGTGGGTGACCACTCCATGTCTGAGAGATGGCCAGGTTCTTTCTCAAGTCAGGATCACCATAAAGAGGCCTGGGGCACCTGGGCGGCTCAGTTGGTTAAGCATCTGACTTCGGCTCAGGTCATGATCTCACAGTTTGTGGGTTTGAGCCCCGCATAGGCCTCTGTGCTGACAGTTCAGAGCCTGCTTGGGATCGTCTCTTTCTCCCTCTCTCTCTGCCCTTCTGCTGCCCTCTCTCTCTCTCTCTCAAAAGTAAATAAATAAACCTAAAGAAAAAAAAGAGGCCTAACCCCCTTCTGCATCTTCCTGGTGCACTTAGGATAAGTCCCCAAATCGTCACGGGGCCCTGTATGGTTCAGCCCCGTCTCTAGTCCTCCCTTCTCTCACGTGCTTCGAGCACACCGGCCTCTTTAGTTCCTGGAACGTACAATAAGCTCTTCCCCCCGTAGGCCCCTTCCACAGGCTGTTTCCTCCACCTACCGTGTTCTTCGAATACCCTCCGTCTACCTTCCTGTGATTGCTTCCCCAGAGGCCTCGCTTGAGCACCCACCACCCCTGCTCCCGGCTTCCATTTCAGTTGGGACATCCTATCTTACGACCTCATACCTCCTGTTTTTTCCTTTACAGTGCGTATCAGAGTGTGCAACTAGATGGTTGTTCACGTGATTGTCCGTTGGGCGCATCTTCCGCCAGACTGTAAGCTCTCAGAGGGCAGGGACTGGGTCCGTCTGGATGAACGAATGAAGGGGCTAAGGTACTACCAACCCATATCCCCTTGCCCTCCCCTGGGAGGTGGCCTTCGGGGCCGGCCAGCCTTGCTGACTCTGGCTGGAGCTGGGCCTGACCGCGTATCCCCCACTCCCTCCCCTCCCTTTGCCTGCTGAGGCCGTCTCGGCTTCCCACTTAATTGTACCTAAGCAGTTTTGCTTGCTGCTGCATGAAAGTATTAGAGGAAATAATCCTCTAGGAACTAAGACAGTCTCCCTTTGTGGGGGCAGGAGAAGGGGCTCAGAGGCAGCGAGGCTCACGCTGGCTGCACGCCTCTGTCAGCCTCCCTGCCTGTGCTGCCGAGGCCTCGGCTCCTGCCTGGTGTTTCTGAGAGGATTCTTTTCCTCTCTGCTCCACATCAAAGGCCTCAGAGCTATTTACACACCACACAAGTTTTGCTACAAACTTGGGACAAGGTGCTGCTCTCCTTCCCTTCCGGGGCATAACGATGCGTAAGTGTAACACACGTTTCAGATTTAGGTCTTGTCGTCCCCAGCCAGAAAATATAATTTATTGAAGTCCAGGCTGTCAGGCCCAGCTCGCTGCTTCTTCGGACCCGCCATTCTCCCAGGCATCCCTCTGCTCTCCGGTGAGTGCCG